TAATAGAAATTTCGTCCCAAAAATTGAAAAAAATTACCCCCCCCCCCCCCCAAAAGATGAATCATGTTTGGTCAAGCTAACAGATTTTTATATTGGCAGGTATAGCTTCTAAGAGTGATGGAATCCTACTTATAAGCTAACATTTTGTCTTTGGTTCAACTAAACATATCTAGTTCTATTTGTTTGTAACTTCTTTGTGGCACATTACATGAAAACCTGGCTATGATTTATGAGTACGATTTTTATTGGACGAAAATTGTCAATTAATTCAACCAAGGAATAACATTAAATTGTATGATTGCAAATGCAAAAGAAAAAACTTAGTGTATGTTACAAAAACACTGGCCGAATAACACACGGGAGCAGAACAAAAGACAGGAGTCAACAATTATTCACATTCTTAAATACATACGGTAATCTATGAAAGAGAACTCAAATACTCCGTATCATTTTAAGTTCTGCTTACACTGGATAATAGATGATTGTGGAATCTGAGTACCACATAGTTTGATGACCGTGAGGACTGAGGAATGACATTACCCGAGTGCTCAGCTTGCAAGCTCTTCAAGTCAATACTGTGTCAAAATTATGAATCTGAGAAAACAAAAAGAAAAACATAGAAGGGGAAAAAAGAGCAGTGAAAGATATCGTGAGCAATGGAGTGAATCCCACGAAAAGCTTTAAGGACCGCAAATGAACTGATACGGTAACACAATAAAGGTATTATAACGAATAACTCCATACTACTTTCTAAAATGATGAAGTTACGTGTGAAATGCTAACTAATAACAATGGCATTTAAACAAGACTGTCATGGCATATTTGGAGTTTATCACCGAATCAAATGCAAAGTACACCTCGTCCCACAATTACCATACTATATTACCACTGAGTGTGGATTGAGATAATTCAAGTATGATAGTTTGGACAAGCTCAAATCAAACATACACATACTCCAAACTGAAACATACAGATAATTATGCCATACATCTAACCATATTTTTGTAATTTTTTTGCTGATTGCTCAATATTACCTTAAAGAATGTCCATTTTTCTTCAAAAAAAAAATGCTAGGTTGAATGTGATAGACAGTTAAATACGCTCACGAAGGATGCTCATTTGAACATGTTGGATATAGACAATTCATGGTAAATCCCAACATAGTATATACACAAGGGGAACATTTGTTGACAACAAGCAGAAATATGACCACACAAAAAAAAAATTGTATGAAAGCAATGATCTTCTGTCAACAAGGGGATACCTCAACCCTAAAAAACTGAAAAGCAGTAAGTGAAGGCGATTGAGAAAGAAGGAAACGCACCTGGTAGAGAGAAAATAAGCTTTGATTTGGATTTTTCCAGGCTCTTCGTCCTCTTTGGGCTTATGAATCCGGGCAGACTCCACAGGGTTGCACTCGAAATCGTCGATGTAGAGAGGATACGGCCATGGAGCGGCGGAGAAGGGCTTGGAGTTGAAGATTCGAGAGATGGGGCGCAAATCTGAGCTCACTGGGTGAATGGGATTGTGGCCGATTAGTTTTGGTTTTGGGGATATAGCTGTGAGAGAGAGAGCGGCAGCAGCAGGTGGAGGAGGAGCGGATTTCCACCTTCCCATGAACTGGGCGAGGATTTGCAGTCTCATTGAATGGTTTTTGGGAGACGACGATTGGTGAGGTTGAAGGCCAAGCTGGCGGGAGTGAAGCTGTAACACAGCCGCAGGGGAGGCTTGGCGAGTGTTGGACAATGTGTTGTTATGGGAGTATGGGGCTTGACCGAGACGTCACGCCCCCGTTATGGCGTGACCCCAGCGACACTACAAGCGTGACCGAGGCTTGACATGGAAGGCTTACCTTTTTTTCTTTCTCTTTTTAATCTTTTATTTAAAATTAAGAGTAAATTCTATATTTGATCCTTTATAACAGGAAGTTTCCCTAATTAGTCTTCTAGTGGTCCTTCTTTTATGTGTGGGTACCTTTCCACAAATAGTCCTTTTTTTGATCTTCTATCATGTTGGTGTTAATTTGAGGGTTAAAAGTGTAATTTCACAATGATAACATATCTTTTTTGTCATACACGATTCCAAAGGCTATTCCGTTTGCGTCGTTTGTGAATTACAGTCGCTTTTTATGACAACAATAGTCTATAAATGTGATCTTTCGTCAGAATCCTAGCCCATAATCATAGTCATTATTTTTGTGTTATCCGCTTAACCAATATAAGAACACGTCACTAGACATAATGTTGATGTCAAATTATACTTTTAGCCTTTAAATTAACACTAACACGGTAGAAGATCAAAAAAGGACCATTTGTGGAAAAGTACTCTTAAAAAAAGGACTACATGGGTAATATTTGATAATAAATGACTAAATATGTAAATCCCCCTGTTATAAAGGACCAATTATTGAATTTACTCTAAAATTAATTAAAATTTAGCATACATTCACTCATCATCACTTCTCATCACACACATTTTTCATCAGTTCATATCATACATCTTTACACCCCATCAAACTTTGTTAAGCACTATGTCAAGCCCGCCATAATATATAACCTTATCGTGGTCACTGTCATAGACACGAAGCAAAACAATGGTAGTTCTATTATTACTCGGTAAAGAGTGTTTTATTTTATACTCTATGTTTTTATAATAATATAGAGGATAATCTCATGTAGCACATCTCCACATACTTACTCGTACTTAGTGATTATACTCCGTATTATATCTTCATTTAATCTTTCTATCACAATATTTATTTTGTTAGTAATCTTGAACAATAATATATTTTTATGTCTCACTTATATTTTTGCCCTAGCACCTCCGAATTGAAAGAATTGTATTTTACAGAGTATTATTATTATTATTATTGAACAAAACACATTTTTAGTATAAATTATATATTGCTTATATCTTTTCTTATAAATTAAACAAGCTTATCTTTATTTGTGTTTCGATTTGCTATTAAAAAAAGTAAATGAAAAAAATTTATACAAGAAAAAAATTGTTTTCTTTTTTAAAAAATGTGTCATATCGAGCAATACTATATATAAAAACCAAAACGATTTTGCATAGAGTGGACGGTGTCTCGTGAATGAATTGGTTAAGTTTTACTCCGTATTAAGTTGTTTTTAAAATTTTCGTTAATGGTCTAATAAAATAATATAGTCATGACATTCTTCATTTTTAAAATAAATTATCTCAAAAGATTTTTAATCAAATAATGCATATCAAAATAATAAATAATTTAAATTGAGAGGATGAATATTTTTTTTTTTGAAACAGAGGGGATGAATTTTACTTACAAATATGGAGGAACCAGTGATTTATGGTAATTTGTCAAATCAGGCACGCGTGTATATATATCTAACCCTAAATTCATAAAATATCCAACGGCCAAAATCCATTGGAATCAAACCCTAACGACACATATATAAGGTTTGGCGTGTTCAGGTTCCCCATCGCCTCCATCGTCCTCCCCATTATCTCTCGCTCTTTTCTGTACAACAGATCGCCGATTTCAAGTCATCGGAAAGGATGTCGGACGAGGAGCATCAGTTCGAGTCCAAGGCCGACGCCGGAGCTTCCAAGACATATCCCCAGCAGGCCGGAACCATCCGCAAGGGTGGGCATGTTCTCATCAAAACCCGTCCCTGCAAGGTCTTCCAATCTCAGTATTCATGCCTCTGTGTACCTCTCAATAATGGATCTGATGATTGCGTTTGCCGATTTTTTTAATTTGTGGCCTAGACTATAGATAGATGCCATCGAGTCTTCTTCATGATTGTGCGGTACTTTAAATGATATCATTGGTCCTTTTAGAATTTTAATCCGTCCGTAGTATTGGTACTTGGAATGGAGCTGCCTTTTTCAGCCTTTGTTTCATGTTTTTATCTTCTAGTTTTTTTAATGTTTTGCTTTAGATCCGCCATAAAAAGATGTCAGTATAACCCTAGGTTTTAAATTTTGCCTTTAATTTTTGGTTGATTAGAAATTTAGAATATGATCTGATTGGATCTCTTTGCGTCATTGAATCTCAAGGAGTAGCAGAATCAGCTGTGATATTCTATTGGATGTTTTTTTTTGAGTTTAATGAAAGTCTTTTTACAAAAAAAACATGAAGCGTAAAGGAAAATGCCTTCACTGGCACCTGCAAGGCTACAAAGTATCATTTCTTGTGGGTGAAAGCAAGGGGTGGTTTCCCTTCATTTGTAACAAACAATCTATGGTCAAAGTTTATCTCTTTGACTATTGTTTTTGATATTATCATGGCATCATCATTCATATGACTTTACCTATCTAAACTGCATTTCTCAAATTTCTGTTACGAGTTGACTTGGTGTGCTTGTGTCATAGGTTGTGGAAGTGTCAACATCCAAGACTGGCAAGCACGGTCATGCCAAGTGCCACTTTGTTGCAATTGACATCTTCAATGGCAAGAAGCTTGAAGATATTGTTCCTTCTTCACATAACTGTGATGTATGCTCCTTTCTCCAATTCTCCTATTAAAATTTTAAGCCTGTTGAGTTTGGGATTGTGACTGTTGGGACTTGGATGGTTTCAGAGGGCTTTTTCTCTTTATTGGTATATTTAAGTCTTTTAAACAAATAAATGGTAATTGGAAAGGTTATGTCCTCCATTATTAGGTATAAATTTCTTTCAAGATTTATATGATGTCAAATACTCAACTGTCCCCTCCAAAGTAAGAAATAATATTAAACAAAATTCTTTTGTACAAGAGGGGTTATGTAATCTGGTGATGAACTGCAAAGGAATGACCTTATTTAAAGAGAAGACATGGGGGATAAATCATTTGGTCCATATTAATGTTTTTCTCTAGAGAAATGCGAAGATTAAGTTTGGAAATCTCTAAAAAGCAAGGTGAGAACATATGCAAAGGACAACATAGTATATTCAAAGATATAAAGATGTCCTACAAACCAACCACACCATTACCTTCATTCGAACTGATATTTAATCTCTGTATACACTGTACTTCAATTCTCAACAACTTATCCCATTATCTTATTTTTGAAGCCATGATGTTCAGTTTCAAGTCAGTCTATTCTACAATTTTTATGTAGTATATTCTGCATGGTGTGCCATTTAAGATTAAGTATTGTTGGCATTTTAATCATTTGATTTAATTTGAAATAATTTCACCATTACAGGTGCCCCATGTTACTCGTACAGATTACCAGCTCATTGATATATCAGAGGATGGATATGTATGTCTGCCTTTCATTTTCTATATTAATTTCTTCTTTTAGACAATATTGTATTTAAAATAACCATCATCCATGCAGGTGAGTCTACTCACTGAGAATGGAAGCACCAAGGATGACCTCAAGCTTCCAACAGATGAGACTATACTTGCACAGGTAACTGTTTGGTACATTTCTATAGGGTATTCATATTTGTTCAACACATCTTTTAAACCCATTTGGCCTCACACTCTAAGCCCTCCTCCACTAGATGATGCTGTTAGCTTAACCCACATAGTTGAAGCATAATCCTTATGTTATGCTTAAGTGATTTTTTTTCTTTAAAAAATGGCCACTTTCATAGTTCAGTTCTAATGACTCATAAAAAGACTATATGATATATGATTTTTCTTTTGTTGGCTTTTAAAATCTTGACAATGAAATCTATAGGATATATGCTTCTTGTGTTCTTCCTAGCTGATTTCTTTAGCCTACTTTGACTGGGCTAGCAAAAATTTATATATTTTTACGGCACAAGAACCTTTTAAAATATGGGTTTTGTATATTTGCCTTCAAACTTGATTTGGTTTTTCTAGTCACACCTATATTGTTTTGCTATGCTATGTAGTTGAAGGATGGATTTGCCGATGGGAAGGATCTTGTTGTTTCTGTCATGGCCTCTATGGGTGAAGAGCAGATATGTGCCGTCAAGGAAATTTCTGGCGGAGCAAAATAAAGTATTTATAAAAAAAAACAATGTCTGGGGGTGGTTTTCAGGTAGAACTCCCCTCCTCCCTCCCTCCCCCCAAATGTTATGGACCAACTTCAAATTTTTCCTTTTTCATGTCTTTTTTTATTTATTCCAACGTTTCTGGCATAATTATTCGTAATCGTGTTTTTTAAGGATTTTGTGAAAGCCTAACTGCTTTTGAAAGGCATATCCCTTCTGTGTGCTACTTATGTGTGTACCAAATCATTAAAGATTTTAATATTGCAAAAAGCCTGTTTAGTAAGGCTTAAAATGACTCACTTGTGAAATAATGTTAAGAGTTATTGTCAGGGTGGCTTAGTTGGTGTGCCTCAATTATGTTCAATTAAGTTGCTTTATGGATTGTATATATAATTATAAATATAAATTCAATATAATTGGGTTTATTTTATGATATAGTTTTGATATATAATTATTTAGATTATGTTTAATTTTCATAAAAAGTGTTATTGTTTAAATAAAAAATCAAATTAACAACGGTTCTTGAGGCCGGAGGAAGTATTTGTTTGGTTGTGATTTCTTGATTACTTGTACTAAATAAATGTATTTTCCTTACTATTTATTTCTACAAGAATAATGCTTTGCATTTTTTTTATTTTTTTCATTAAGTAATGTATCATAAATTTTTTATCAGTTATTGTCCAGACGCTGATCAAAGAGGACTGAAAAAAAATTGAAATTAGATAAAATATTTAGTAGGGAACATATAGTTTTCTTCGGATTTGAGTCTTTTTATCCTAAAATAAATCAAGATCATGACTTCTAATCTCAGCAATTTGGTTTTTTTTATGATGTTTTTTTTAGTATAGAATAAAGCTGATATGAATGTCAGTTGGATTGTCTTTTAATAGTTGACATAATGCTCATATAAAAGTTGACATGTTGCGTTATGATATCATTTGGGTTGTCTTTTAAGACAGTTCAAGTTGGCTTAATATATACTCCCTCCGTCCACAAATAAATTTTACGTTCACTATTCACAAGGTCAAACTTTATTCACTTTGTTGGCCTATTTTCGTCACCCATTTGATAAAATAATATAGTTATGTCACCTCTAGTTTTGTAGATCTTTTGATATAGTTTTTCAATATATAATTTTTTTTTTCAATTTTACACCATTTTTTATATAAAATGATTTGAAAATAACTTCAGTCAAACATCGTAACGCGCAATGTAAAGTTTATTTTTGGACGGAGGAAGTACCTTTTTTTCAATTGATTTTCAAAGGGTTAAAGTTAGTGAACAATAATCTAAGGTAGTGTTTGGCAACTAGCATTTCATTTCAATTCATGCATTTTAATTCCAAAATTTGAAATCTTGAATTTCAAATGACAAGGGGAGGTGCATGGATTTCAAATTAAACTTTGTTATGAATGATAAGAATTTGATTCAAATCCAAATTCAAAATTTTTAAGTTTTCCTAACATGGAATTTGGCTAAATCCGGATTTGAAATCAAAATCCATGTTTCCAAACATACCATAATGAATTTTACAATTGTAAGACTTGTGGAGAGTGCGCAAGTTGTTTCCAAAAGATGCCAAGCTCATGTAGTATTAATATAAAAAAAAGATTTCTAATAAAAAAAAGATTAGAGTGGCATATATAGTGTGGTAAGCACAAGGCTTTCCTTCGTTAACTTGTTCTGAATCCTATTCATCCTTGTCTTGTTGCTCATCTGATGTCGCAGCCGCATCTTGGTTGCGTGTAGCTTGAGAACATGAGTTTTTTTAACGGTTAAGCGTTCTGCAGATAGCTGGTCTGACGCACAGATAGATCTTAGTTTTTATATTATTCGAAATCTTCTTATCGTACAACACTCTTGAAGCTAATCTCCACTTAGCTCAAGCTACTACAAGACGACGGGTAATATTCGCGTCTAACTTTCCATCCACTTGAATAACCGAGTCAAGATAGCAAAACTTGTCTACCATTGGCACCATTGGGTGAGACTTAATCCTTACCTCCGCTCATAGTTTCGTATTCTAACCACTTCAAACACATTCTAATTATTCAGTATCGATCTTACCCGGCTTAAATATTTTGGATTTTAGTGAAAGACTCCAAACTTCTAAATTGTCATTTAGTCCCTCGTATGTGTCAAATATCGTCAGCAAAAAACATGCACCACGGACTACGGGACCTTCCCTTTAACTCATTGCGTCAGCCGTCAGGTTATCCACCACCAGGGAAACAAGAATTCTCTAAGGGTGAGCCTTAGTGTAACGTTAAAATTAAACATTGTTTCTAAATATACATCGACACAGTTTACTTTTAAAAACTTACCAAAGAACATTTTCTAGCCAAATATTTTGTGCTCAAGCTGTATTACCGCATTTCTTTTAAATTGCAAGTGATATGTTTAAACTCTAGTGGCAAGAATGCAAGATTATCTTAATTTTTTAACTGATCAATAAAGATATGTAGAATGAAGCTACTCCTTTTATGACTGTTCAAGTTTTTGTTGGGGTCCAAATAATTTATATTTTTTTATTTTGGTCTCGTCCAGTTCAAATCTAGAATAATTTAGGTCTAGACTCATTGCATCGAATTGACCTAATAACTGTATTGGATCTTAAAAACGTAAACACTAAAATTTTACTTTTTAAATTTGGTATTACACGTTGATGATCGATATTCTAATTTATTTATTTATTTAATTAACAAGGTTTTTATCAAGTAATTTTTTAACAATTCAAACCAAATTCTTTCACATTAATTTTTGTTAAAAACATTACTCTAAATAGATGTAAAACATAAAGAAAATACCAAAATCGAAGCTCCATGTTTTTTTTTAAAAATAAGAATTTACGCTGTCATAATGTAAACTGTATATGGATAATTTACAATATTTTTTTTGGCATTGTACATTAGCATGATTGGTACTCCCTCCGTTCCATTTTATATTGCATGTTTTCCTTTTTTGGTTGTCCTAAAAAAAGATACTACGTACTTTTTTGGAGTATCATATATGCAGTTTAATTCCCATTATGTATATAAAACTACTTCAAAGGTTTTATAAAATAAATTGTGAGAAATATTTTATTTTTCTGAATGATTAATGAAAATATGCATATAAACAAAATTTATTTTGAAAGAACAGAGTGCAATTTGATATGAGGAATAGTCCTTTTAGTCTTGAACTACTCATTCAATACACTGCCAAAAACCTTATAGTTCAGCTGTATGATAGTGACTCTCGCATATAAAAATGTATGAACAAATACTACATTATAATAGAGTTATTAATGTTCAAAAATGAAATAATACTCCTTTCTTCTGTACATAAAAATTTATTATGTTTGATTAAATATAATCAACTTAATTTATTTGATTAGTGTAATTAGATTAAAAAATAAAAGTTACATACTTAAAATGAAATCAAAACCTCTATAAAATAAAAAATAAGAGATGCGCTCATTTCTTCACATATTATGTCAGATATATTCCAAAACATTCAATTGATTTTTTTTTCACAACACACAATCCGTATTAGTATCATTTGTATTTTTAAAAAATTAAATTATAGTTATAAGTTGCAAGTTGTAACTTATAACTAGTTGCAAGTTGCTACTAGTTAATTTTTATCAAATACACGTATTTTTTTAACAATCAAGTAACACATCTAGTCAGTAAATCAACCAAGACATCTAACTGTTCAAACCAACTAAACTCATCAGTTGTGGTTGTGCAAATTTTGAAATATTGAAATACCCCTAGCGTCCCAAAAAATCTTCCACGTTCTATTTGTGGAAATTTTTTTATGTCTGCTATGAAGTACTTCGTATTATTTTTCTCATTTCCATAATTGTACATTTCTAATCTCTAGGTCAAGTCAAATGTGGTTTTTTGCGAGACATGAGTAACTAAGAACACGTTGTTTTTGACTGATTGGACCGAATCTAGTTTTATTAAAATCTAATCAGCTCTAAATAAATTTGAAGGTATTTGGTATCCGATATGATTTCCAATAAAAAGAAGTAATACTCCATTAGAATAATTTGAAGAGATCGGGCTTTAAGTGTAGAGGTTGATGAAAATAAATTTAATACTCTGTATTTAAGTTTGATTTTCTGGTCAACATTATTCCGAGATCACAAGTCGTCGTGCGTGACTCGCCCGCAAAATAGCGGGTTTGGGCATGGATTTTCAGAGAATAAATTTGTGTATCTAGTAACAAATAGTTACCCGCAAACTTGTGTGCCAAGCTCGGGTTTTATAGCTACAAGTTAGCCCGATTTGAGCTTATAATATCAAGGCTCTATTCGTTTCGGGTCTAACTCTTAACATCCAACATTTTCCAATTCTTTTCAATTTCTTCTGGCTTTTCCATTTTTTTTTAACTTTTTCCAATTTTTTCCAACTTCTTTCAGTTTCTTCTTATTTCTTCCAGTTTTCTTCCAACAGCGACTTAAAAAATAGGTATCTTTTCATTTAATACTATTATCCTTGTTATTCTTGTTGTTGTTCTTATTATTATTATTATTATTATTATTATTATTATTATTATTATTATTATTATTATTATTATTATTATTATTATTATTATTATTATTATTATTATTATTATTATTATTATTATTATTATTATTATTATTATTATTATTATTATTATTATTATTATTATTATTATTATTATTATTATTATTATTATTATTATTA